TATAAGCTCATTAGACAGTTTTATATTAGAGAAGTGAACAGGTTGATGATAATGGTTAAGAATGCTATTAATAGCTTAAGTAGGGTGTGTTGTAAGAGTAATGCATCTTTTGTCAATGGCTTTATTAATTTGTTGTCGAAGTAGAAGAGAGTTTTCAAGATGATGAGCATGAAAAAGTTGCTTCTAAATAGAGTGGGCATGTTGAAGCCAAGGTTGAGTACAAGATGGGTCAGTGAAGTTAAGTAGTTGGAGATTACATTGAAACTGTTTGTTAATTTGGAAGATATTTTGATTGATGTTAAAGATGTTAGAGTATTGAGTGAGTTTTTTTAACAAGTTTGATAGTGTGACCAAGTTTTTTAAGTGATAGGTGTAGTATTTTGAAAATTTTTTTTATTTAATTTGTTTTTTAATATCATTTAAATTTTTTTTTTTTAAATATTGATTAATTTATTAATAATCATAATGCAATTCAAATCATGTTTGAATTATATTATATTATATTATATTTTAATAATTTTAAATTAAATATGTTTTTTAAGATCATATTTTAAAATATTTGCTATTCTTATTTATTACTAATATCTGTAGATTTAAAATTAATTTTAGATTAATTAATTTGATATGCTATTAATATTACTAATACTATCAATATCACCAATACCACCAATATCACCAATATTACCAATATTATTAACACTACCAATATACCAATACCACCAATATTATCAATAATAAATAAGAATTAGTAATAAATAAAAGTTAATGCAACTATATTAAATAGTTTTATCAACAAGCTTATTTCTTACCAATTGCTATACCTAACACTTCTGCTTGAATATTCCATGTTAAACCCTCTGAACCTGCAAATCTGTTAACTTCACTAGATCATATCTGATGCCTAGATTAATATCTTAACCTTTGAACTATTTTATTCTCAAGATAAACTCTTAAAGCCTTTTGTATTCATTTTTATAGCTGATCTAGATATCACTATGACAGAACTAACACTTGTAGTTAGGACTTAACCATTAAATCATTATGTCCTTGTAGAGTTTACTTAGACTCTAGCATCCATTTTATAACATAACCCAGTACTTTAGTATACTTCTACCTTTTTATCTGCCTTTTTACTAAACTTCCAATTCAGATAGCTCATGTAGAACTATGATCAGTCTATCAGTATATTAGATTAGCCCAATATCCTTTTTGTTCAATTTGTTCTAGCAGCCTGATTAGTAGTATTTTTGAGACTTTCAATTTGGAAATTCTTGCCTATTTGGCTACTACAACTGAATACTACAATCTTAATATCTGTTTCTCCAGACTAGTCTTTACAGTAGGGCTGTCAAAGATCTAGTTACCTCTCTATTTAGATTTTTTTAAATGAACTTCTTGTTATCTAATTTCAACAGATTTACATGATCACAAGAACTTATCTAATGTTTGCACTACCTAATTGCCAGTTTGCATTCCTTTATGTAACTACAGACCTTGTCTCAAAGAACAATGTCACATAACTGTTATACAAATGCCTTATGACCTGCCAGTCATGTTGGTATGATCATCATTACAAATATCCTAATCTAATTATTAGTAATAGTTATTGTAATATGAATATTACATAGGTAATTATCCAAATTTTATTATTGATAAGATTTGAACACCTAACCTATCACTTGAAGAGTTAATAATCTAATCACTTCACTAGGTTGTCACACTCTACTGATTATCTTTATTATGATTTTTGTATATATATATATATATACAAATTTTATATAAATTTTGATTCAAAATTTTGCAAATACTTCTATAAGTTTTATGAAAGATCTGCTTAAGTATGCCAAAAACCATATCTGATCATCACTTTACAATAAGATGTTGCTAAGCTGATAATATTTTCTTATAGAGAAGTGAACAAAAACAGAAAAAATATATATATATATAAAAAACACAAAGATATAGAAATAAATAATAAAATTATAATACAAAAAATAAAAATAAAAATAAAAAAATAAATATGACTTTTATTATATAATTATCAAATAATTATAACTATAAACTTGTGTCAAATTTTTAAAAATTATAGACTATACTAAATAGAATTAACTCTACTATTTTTCTATTTATTTAGAATATTTAACAAAAACCATATAAGATAAAACTTTAACTTAAATGTAGAAAGTCAATATAGATCATTAGTTAATCTGAAAACAGTATTTTATAGAGTTTTAGCAGTTTAAAATATATATATAAGTCATATTTGTATTACTGTATTGTTTATATAATCTTAATTAGAAAGTAAATACTGCTACCTATTTTGGTATTTTTATGTATTAATTTTTTAGGAAAGGTAACTAAATTATCTATTTTTTATAAAAATTTTCTTAAAAAAAAGAGAAGATATAAAATAGATCAAATTATAGTTTTTGTAAATGTTTAATCTTTCTGAAAGTTCTTAGTAAGTTTTACAGTTGTATAAAAATAATATATTCAACTTTGTTGTTTACTTTATAAAAGATTTTTAACTTTTACCAACTACTTTTTCTATGATTTCAGAGTTTTTTTAAACCATCATTACAAAGTGATAATTTTTTTTTCAACTCTATTTCAATGCCTACTATGCATGCTCAGTACTTCAAAGAAGTTTTTATAAAGTTTAATATATTAACTATATTATTTTTCTGTAGTTTGATGTTTTGGTAAGTTTGGTCCAAATAATCATTAGAAAAAGTTAAATATAATTTTTTGATTAATTGTATTAATTAACAATACTCTATTGTAAAATAATAATTAGATAAGTTTTTAAATTATTATAATGCCTTTGATATTGTATAACTAATGTAGCAAAGCACTTATAAAAGTAGTTAAAAGTTGTTAAATTATTAAATTAAGTTCAAAATATGTACAAATTAAAATACAAATTTTAATAAAAGTTATTAACAAGACTATCAAAAAGAAAACAAAATACAGATTTTAAACTAGCTTATAAATACTAATATCTGTTATTAGATAGGCTAAAATAATTAAATAAAGTTACAAAACCTTTTTAAAAAATAGAATTATTAAATTTGAAAGTTTAAAATAAGTAATATAAATATTGTAACCTTTTAGAATAACTAAGTACAACCATTTAATATTAAAATTATTTTTGAACCAGTATAGAAACCACTTCTGAGTAGTGTTGGCAATTGAATAATTGAATAATTAAGTGGTAGATCGCAGTTGAAGGGTATAAATCTCATAGTAAAAATCGGCGGAAAATTATTATTACTTTCATATAATGTTGGAATGACGAAAGTTTCTGGCATTATGTAAAAATCATATAGTTATAAAGGAGAAAATGCCAATAGCTCGCGATCTACCGAACCAATTTGAATAATTCTACCACTATTATAACCGGAATGACTTGTTATATAATCTTTGTTAGAAACTCAAGGAAGGTTTACTTGGCATGAAAAAACTTTTCATTGTAAGCTAGCTGCATTCCAACCCTATAGAAAAACCATATCAACTTCCGGTAATTTTTACTATTAAATTCACTATTTTTATACCCTTTAACCGCGATTTACCTCTTAACCAAAAAATATTATTGGTTGGTCCAATTATTAGAGTCCAATTATCCAATTAATCATCTAATGCTATTGATTAATTTGATTTTTCAATTGTTTAATTGTCAACACTGCTTCTGAACATTTACAAAAATAGCCAAAAAATGTTGAACCTAGAAGCATTAGAATCAAAATTATACAAAATTATGTAACAAACTTAATAAAGAATGTTAGTGCAACTGTCTAAGATTAAAAAAAATATAATATAATTATAAAAATCAATTAGTTAGTTATTATATAACCAACTATAATAAGTTATTAATTGATTAGTTTCTATATTTTTATTTAACAGATCAACTTTGAGTTATTAATTTCAAATTTTGTTTACATGGTATATAGCAAGTTAATAATTAAACATTTTTTGTTCTACTGATAAAAATCATATTCTATCCTAATTTCTATTGCTCTCGTCAACACTAATTATATATATAGTTTATATAATGTAAGCTACATGTAGCCATGGCTATATGTAAAATTTTCCAAACGATAAAGGTTAAAAATAACAATTTTTAGAAACATGAGCAATGCCAAGCGATGAAAGTTTAGCCTGATATAGCGATTTTATAAGTTTTATGTAACGAAAGCCAATAAATCTGAAATACAAGCATATAAAGCTTTAGACGTAAAAATGCATACATTAAAGTGTTTACATTTTTCAAAGGCCTTAAACTTGAGTTCTATGTGTTGTTTGTATGCTACTAAAAAATACATGGGAGTTTCATAACATTGGCTCTACTTATAAATTAGTCTATAAATTATATATGAATTATAATGACCTTCTCTCTGAATTTCATGCTAACAAACTTTATGTTGATGAACCAAAACTCCCTTTAACGCCAGTAATCCTTGTAACATTTCACTGATGCAATTAATTATTTCTACAATTATCTTTATCTTCGGTCTGCAAAATTCTGCTACTTCTATTACTGCCAGTTTGCCATTGATAACCCTGTTCACTACTCATCAACAGAGGTCCACCTGGCCCATAGCCACGTGCACTTTCATACTTGAACTCATTCTCAGGATCTCCAAAGTTGGTCATAATAGTGCATGGGCCATTTGATCCGACAGTTGGAAACCAAACATGACGTATTCCCATGAAAGCATTACCAAGAAATTGTCCATTTTTGGTGAAAAATACATGCCCAGCATCAGGATTGTATGCGCAACCTATGGTATCGCCAACATTGCCCCACGCTTGACTATATTCATGACCACCGAATTCATCATTATATTTTTTTCCATTTGAGTGGAAACCTACGGAGTATATATTCCACCCAGGTAATCTATTATAATAATGATAAATGATAATATATTCGTTATTAATGCTCGTTATTTGAATTATAATTATTATTTATGAACCTTATTTATTTTCGTTATTTAACTGATACATTAAGCATATACACATTATTAATTATGTAAATACCTAAAAGATGGATAAGGCTTGGTAGCTAACCCTATGGCGATAATGGTATTTCTTGGATCCGGATTTGCCAAGACTGTTATCTCGAAATAATGTAACATCTGACCTAGTCGATGCGGCATGGTTTCTGGTCGTCCAAATGGAGCCTCATATACTACATCTCCTTCAACTTGAGGTATAAAAAATGGATAATTGGACTGTACCATAGAGTCTAATCGCTTATTAAATTTAATAACTTTACCCTCACCCATTATAGTAACGATTTGCTGTCCTAATAATGAATCATCAGGATCCCAATCCCAAGCTTTAGCACCACCTAAACTTTGAATGTATATTATATGATCCTGGGGTGGTATTTCTTCCCGTGGAGGGTTCAATATTGTGAATTGTTCAGCCGCAGTATAATTATCTGCTGTTGTTTCTTGATTACGCCCACTCCAATATAACGAATCTGGTGAATTTAAGATTGGCTCTTCACCACCGCTACCAATTGGTTGCGTGATTATTGAATGAGGTCGAGGTCTACCAGATAATAATGGGGTGTCACTTGATGATGAGCCAGTTCCAGTTAATGTAGATTTCAAACTTTGTACGTGATCTGAAAGCTTTTTCCCCGATTTTAAATACTGCACACAACACCAAATTATACCTACAAGTAAAATTATTATTACGACACTACTAATTATAAGAGTTATGATACAGTTGTTGTCACAATAATTAATGCTCATTGTTCTTTTTATGCCTTCTAAGAGTTTGATCATCGTCTCCCTAGCATTGGTTAACGATGCGTCATCTTCTGTTCGCTCATCCTCCACTATACCTTCTACCATGTTGTTAATAGTTAATTCTAATGTGACCTCTATTAAAACTGCTACTAAAATGAAAAATAATATCAAAAAATGGCGAAAATTCTGCCAAAATATGGCATGGTTTCGGGACATTATGACATTTACTAAAAAGATTTTTTTCCGAAAAGCTTATGCTCTATAGTCTCTTTAAAGGTTTTAAAGGAAACTAAATCGCGTAAAAAAAGAAAAAAAAAAAGGCTTGTGAATTTAGGGTTTAAAAATCCTTTCCTTGTGAACCATACTAATGTTTATTTATTGAAGGTGGCTGTCGAAAGGCTTTACAAAAGAGGCTCTGCAAATGTTACGTGGCTTACTCATTAATGATCAGGCTAATGAACGAAATGTTAAATGTTCGCAACTTTCGTTGACACAAAAGACTTACGTGGTATTTAGTAAACATATTTCAAATATCCTCCTGTTTAATGCTGATACGAAATATTAACATATTTTGACACAACTTTTCAAAGATCAATGAACATATCTACACGAAAGTTAGTCCTCGTAAATGCATACAAACAAAATCTATATATATTTGAGATTCTTGACAAATTTACTACGATATTAGATTCGTGGCCAATGCCTACTAGAGTAGCCAGGATACAAAGCGATTTTCATGTAATCCAATAAAATTTGAGTCACTTGTTAATTTCTAGTACGATGCAATTATTAAAGTTAGCCAACGTAAGAAACTTTCGCTTTATATTGGTGAATTTACAAATTCATTTATTATTTGTTCTTAAACACGAAAATTCGAAACTTCGATGCATAAAGTCATATTTAAAATCAACTTTTTTATCTTATACAGATGGTTTCAAAAATTATATTATCAGTTCAAAGAATGGTAACATGCTGATACCTTATTTTTATTACTAACTAGCTAATATGCTATAAAAAACTTAAAACAGTTTGAGATTTTATTAATGTTAATGAAATGCTTCCGTATCTGATTTGTTGATCTGATGCTTTCAACCGACCAGCATCGATCACTAAATAACGATAAATATGTGGTAAAATAATGATGCCCGTTTGCTTAGTATTTCAAGCATGGTAAACACTACAATGGCTAGTAATTATATTTATATGTGTTGTGTCTGAAGTAGGGTTGGGGGCACTGAAAAAAATTCGGGCAATGCCCCTGGGGTATGATTTTATATATAATGTAATAACATTTTGGTCTGGATTCAAAAAATAATTACCCATATGTGGTCAGATAATAAAAGTTATCGATCGATAGGTAACAATTTTTATAATTAGTGTTGCAAAGATCAGTGTTACGTCTCTACAAATAAAGCTATGGAGCCATTTCTTTATTTAAACACGAAAAAAAATTTAATACTCATTTTTTCTTAAAGATTAAAAGACAAAACTTAATTGAGTTTATTTTTCTCAAGGAATGACTCCATAGTTTTGTTTGTAGAGATGTAACACTGGCCTTTGCGAAATTTTATCAAAACTATCGAAACGTTAGGGCTTTACATCTATTTAAAATTTTGTAGTAATATAAATTTTATTATATGACCACATATATTTTCACGATTTGTCACGCAGATCACGGGTATAATTGATCACATGGACAATCATAGCGGACAATCTACGGACAGTTCTTAGGGACAGTTAGTAGACTCGGCGTTTCGATAGTATAATACCCCGATTGATATATCAAGATCATGGGGTACCAATACTATGTTAGTCAGTATTGTCAATGGACATGGACATGTCCATGGACTGTCCATGGACAAATAAAGAGTATGTCCATGTCCATGGACAGTTTATGGACAATTAATGTTCATGAACAAATGAAAAGCATGTCCATATCTATGAACAAATGGATAAAATAAATTTAGTATAATTAGTTTTGCAATTCCATGTACAGGTATATAACTTCACAGCCCGTATTATAATCAGGCCTATCGAAAAATCAATTAAAATTAAATTTTGCTATACGTCATACAATTAAAATCAATTAAAATCATCATAAAATTAATTAAAATCCAATTAATAGCGAAATATTTCCAATTAATTGCAATTAAATTAAATTTTCTTTTATTATATGTACCGCTTAGAGCATTACATACAATATGTACCAATTTTTAAATACATAATAAAAAATTAAAAATCATTGTAATTGTTAATTGTATGGTGCTGTAATTGTTAAATAGCTATGTACACTAAACCGGAAAAGAACATACTATACTTATGCAAGAGTTCTTAACAATTAATAACCTGCATGTACATATAATAATAAACAAATTTAGAAATCTTATACTTTTATATGTAATTTGACGAATTCTGGTCCTATTTTTTTTTTTAAAAAAAAAACAAGTTTAGATTATTTAATTTGGTTGATATCTTGAATCAACCACAATTTATCATTCATTCTGAGCAGCAAAAGGCTTTTCAAAGTATGTGGATCAAGAGATTTTTGGCAATCTGTATAGTAGTATTTGACGATTGAGAACAAATGCTATACTGCATTTGATGTAGGAGATACAATTTTCATATCTATAAATTTAGACTCTTCTAGCTTGCATTTTTTTAAAACTCTTTCTTTCATGGTTATACATGTAGGTTCTTCTGCTATCGATTGTATATCGTGTTTAACAATAAATGCTTGAAGTTTTTGTTTCTCAGTAAACATTAATATGGCTTCTTGTTTGCATAACACTTTGATCATGACCTTTTCAAAAATAACATCATGAATAATTGGAGCATTTCTTTCTAATTGATTATCCAAATCTGAAAATTCTTCAAGTAACAAATCGAAATATGTATGAACATCGTCTAAATTCATTAACTCGTTCTGTAGATCATTAGTTACTTCTGCAAAGGATTTAAGTTTATTAATAAAATCATTAAATTCTTTGAGATCTAATTGCTCTACTAATAAAATATCTTGACCTAAAAAATAAAAAAATAAAAATTAAAAAATTAAAATTAAAAAAAAAAATTAAAAAAAAAATTAAAAAAAAACTAAAAATAAAATAGTTAAATTAACCTAAAAATCCATTAGTTTGAATAACATGTGGAATAAGTTCTTTATATCATTCAACTATTTTTAGTACACTCATCTATCTAGTTGCATTATCTAATATAGGATTTAAAGATGTCACCTTTACAAGTTTCCCGCGATTCTTGTAAGTTCGCATCATTATCACAATTGCACGAATTTGACTTACAAGAGCAGATGATGAATTAATAAGATCATTAATGGTTAAATTTAGACGATGCGATGCACATCCTATAAGCGAAAGATTCCAATTATTGGCAATTTTCTTGTTAGTGCTACAATTATCTCCCGAAAAAAACAAGATGTCATCAACACTTTTATCATATGATTCTAGAACGTCTTCAAAAAACTTAATATGTGCATATGCACTTTGAGTACTATAGTCTTCAAATGAAGAAAATGCAAGCAAAACTAAATTTCTAAGTTTGTGAACCGTTTGATAAATGCCAAATAACTCAACAAAGTGAATCCCATTATTTGTCCACCCATTAAACATAATTCTAATATTTTTTGATAAGATATTTTTTATTCTTTCTCATATGATATCCATCAAGCTGTTAAAATATTTGCTAACTGTAGCAATATCCAATCTTAAAAGACTTGTATGTGCAACAAAATCCAGATTTTCACAGGCGTTGAAAGGTAATTGACACTTTACAATTAGACTTATCCAATTGAAAATATTATGCACACTTGTGCTATAATTAAAAATATCAGTGTTTGCTGTAGAGGTAGATTCAATATGTTGTTGATATATTAACTTAAAACTTTCATGTTACATACTTAAATGATTCATTAAATTCGTATAGCCACTTCCTTTTTTTTGAGATATTGATTGTGAGCCAGGAGAACACAAATTACATTGGTGTTTACTATCATTTATAGGTTTAAAAAAGGCCTTAACATAAAACTTATTTGAAACTTTCGTACTCGTTAATGCCATCATAAAAATAAAAAAATAAGCACACTACTTTGATGTCTATGCAATTTTATATATTATAAAATTTAATCAATAATTTATTTAACTCAAATATATTACATTACTCAAATTTGATGTATTAAATTAATAAATTTTGTTAGCAAATATATTGTAGGCTAATTACGTAAAAATTGCAATTAATTGATCAATTGTGGCTGCACTACCAATTAATTAATTGTGTTCGAAAAATTGCAATTAATTGCCCCCACAATAATTTTTTCGGTAGGCCTGATTATAATTACTTAAATCGGAAATGCACCAAAACTCTATAGTATTACATACAAACAATAAATTGATTTTGATGTCAGGAGATTAGTTTATTATATAATAGAAACATACTTAGTATTGCTACTAAAATTAGTTATATAATCACTTTTTAAATTTTAATCTGCATACAAGAATAACAGAATTATGAGATCACAAGATTCTTTAAAGAAATAATTGTTTTTTTTATATATTTATTTAACTTATTAGAATTTATTTAATTATCACTACAAACTCTGAGTCAAATTACATTTAATTCGAAAAGTGTAAAATTCATTTACATCCAAATTCAAATTTATTTAATATATGTATAAAACTTTAAATTTAATACCAGTAAAGGGTGTTTTGTTGTGTCAACTCCAGTTTTTGGCTCGTTCGAACTCTTTAATTATTTACCATTTTTGGAAAGATTTAAAGTTCAATTCAATACTTCAACTTATTTTTTTTGATGAAAAAATTATTAGATTTTTCAAGACAATCAAGCATCTAAAACATAAAATTATTAAATATATTTATTTAAACACAGAAATATGATAATAAAAAAATTTTTTTATATCTTAAAAAAAGTTTTTTTATACTTTCTTAAAATTTTGGATTCAGATTCACTATCTATAGTACTTGATTCCTCATTGTCTATATTTTGGTTTTCTGAATTTATCAGATTGATCATTAAATCAATTTTTGTATAATCAATTAAGGTTAATCAAATAAAGTTTTATTAGTTTTCATAAT